AGCGCAGTCGCTGCTTACTGCGCAGTTAGCAGAGCGCGGGCGCGTGAGGGTGGATTCATGTAAATGTATGTGTGCGTGCATAAAAGAAGTAGATCAGTGATGGTACAAGAAATAATTGAATAAACAATGAAAATATCGATTCGACATATTTTTTATTTTAATTAGAGAAGAATGAATTTCTGCATAGTTACATAGAATATCACAATAAATATCTGCTTAAGTTTTTCTTTGGCATTTTCAGCTTATTGCTGAACTAACTTTTCGCAAAGCGAAGGCAAATAGAAAATTATTATGTTATTTATATTTACATTTGAGGGCAGCTGCTGCTGCTAGTTTTCGAGTTCGTAACGAATTTCCGTAGCATCAAAAGTAGAAGAAGAATATAAGATGACCACAACCATACATATATGTATGTAAGGCCATTGTAAGACTCGGCTGGGAACTGTTGGTCCAGCTGCTCCGGGTGCTGCTGCTGTTATAGATAAGCGAACTGAATGATAAGTTGAAGCTTTCTGGTTATCTAGAGCCACATAAGATGCATAGAAAGCCGAAATTGCAATTCAACGAAGCACTGCTCAAGTTTTGACACACACACACACACACACACACACACGCGGACGACAGGACGAAAGTAAACGCATAGATAGTTGCGTACAGTTGTCACAAAAAGTATGCTGGCCGAAGGGAAAACATGAAAATTATAACCAAAGCGAAATAAAATTTAAAACCAAATGCAAACACACCCACAGCCATTGTCACATTGTCATTGTGTGTGTGTGTGTGTGTGTTTGCTCAGATTATAGTGTAAATATTTTGACATTACAATATGCCAGTGCAAGCATGCTTGTGCGCTTGTGTAAATTTGCTCAAGTGTTTGCACAAAATTTACTATTCATATGATATGCTCAATGGCCGGGCATTCGTAATGGGATGGATGGGCACAGTCGGGCCAGTCGGGCCAGTCAGTTTATTTGTTGCTATGGCTGCGGTTGTGGCTGTGCCATTCCATTCGCAGTTAATTTGTTAAAATTTCACTTTATAAATAATATTTGCTAAATTTGTTTGCCCAACAACAATAACAGTTGGCAGTTAGCAAACGCTTTATGGCTTATGGCGACGTCTTCTGGCACAAGTTTTCCAATTTGCATAGCTTCCGCTGCAGCTTGTTTTTGCCATAAATATGCAAAGGCTTTTCAGCCTCTTGTCTATGGAAATGAGTCAAGCAAATATATGCGTTGGCTTT